ATTCAGACTGTGCGCGTGCTCCATCGTATCTGCCCACGGGATTACATTTATGATACGACATTCCTGACTCTGTGCGGACTACTTGGGGACACCAGAGAGAAGCAAGTCGAACTGTCTGAAAAGTTTATCAAGGGTGTGTGTTGGAGTGATGGGAGACCCGTGAAGCTGCCACCGCAACTAGAGCTGGTGCACTTGGACTTCGACACCATCGTCGAAACCCCTTTGGTTGAAGCCATGAAGAACGTGCGAGCTGCAGAGCTGCAGAAGAAAGAGCTCAAGGGAAAGCAGTCAGCGTAAATCAGCTTCGCTGGATCTGTCATGTGGGTTCAAACCAATACAATAGAAGCTGGGCAAGAAACAAGTTGAAGACTCCAATGTGAAACAGTGGTATCAAAGCCAAAGGCCTTTTGCACACTTCCGGCGCCACAAGGTCATCACCAAACGCCACCGCTGTGCTAATGATACAGAAACCGTGGTAATAATACAAACAAACCCAACACAAGGCCTAGGCCGACCATCATTCCAACAACACATGATACACATCGTACATCACAAACCCCACCCTCACCTCGCCTTGTTATCCCCCTTCCTCCCCTTCTCCCTCTCATCAATCTTCAAACCCCTAACCAACTGCCGTCCCATCATCCTCGAAATCTCCTTCGCATAGTCCGTCATGCGCATGCTATTCCTCTCGTCGTCGCTCTTGCCCTCATACGCCTTCTCGCTATACGGCGGCGGTGCATCTGTATACCGCGCGTACTCCGCTTCGATACGCTGGAGGTTCGAGTTGGACGACGAGCTCGAGTCGCTGCGGTGGGTTGAGGAGTGGTTTGACGAGTGCGAGTGTGTTGATGGACTCGGGAAGGACGTGTATGAGGAGTTGCGCGCTGCGGAGTCGTCTGTAGTGGAGGCTCCAGAGGGTCTTTGACCAGCAGCGGCGGCTTTGGCGATGGAGGAGGCGGAGTCGTGGCGTGAGGAGAGCATCGAAGAGGGGGTTTCGCGTTCGTTGACGCTGACTTCTGGGTAGTGATCCATTTTCGCGTTTGGGAATGACTCGATCTCGTAGTAGCGGTAGCAGTAGCAGCAGTAGTAGTGGTGTAGAATCTAGAAAACAAGATCTGAGATCTTTTGTATGACTTGAAATGTGGTGTGACTACTAGCGTCCTTTGATGATGGAAGTGTTATTGGTTGCGCGTGTCCTGCTGCTGCGGTCGATGGCTGGGATGTTTAAACAGCTGCCTACTCATACCACGCACATGATGTACATGACACAGACCCATACCCAATCCTGTAAGTAATACTACGACGTCATTGCAGCGCCATCGTGCCCAGCCACGCTTTGGCTATCGCAGTCCGGAAGAGGAAATGATGTGTGGCTCATCAGAAGACCACGCCTCAAAGACAGGAGTGCGGATAGTGCTCGGTTTCTACGACAAACTGGCGAAGACATTCCACAGCTGGCAAACTCAGTTTTGGACTGTTTAATGACATGCGATGATCTGGGAACATGATGATGCTGGTGATGAACGTTATCGGGGAGGCGGACACGGAGCAAAGCGAGGCGCAAGCGAAGCGAAGGATGTGTGGCGTTGCGAAATGGATGGGTCCAATGATGTCATTCATCACCATCAGCCGTGCCGTGTCGCACAGCAAAGACCGGAAAGCTGAGCATGCAGATCACAGGACATGATGAAACAATAATTGGCATATACGAAATGATGGGGTATCTTGGGTCCGCACAGTGGACAATGCGTGTAACGTGACAGAGTAGGAGATGGGCGGTAGGACGAAAAGCAGGTACTGAGCCCCAGCCAACAAACCTCATGCCCTGACTAGACCCCTGACGGCGTTCTTGAGCTTCCCCAACCCCCGCGAACTCCTCTTGTGGGATTTGTGTCGCTCTAGCTCCATGGCCGTTGGCGCGTTGAAGTTGCCGCTTATTCTTCCAATCTCGCTCCGCGGGTGGTGTTGGTGTGCTGGTGACGGCGAATAGTACGGCTCAGCTGATGAGAATCTCCTCGGACGCCCCGTGTCGTCGTCGGAATACGACGATCTCAGATATGCTGAAATGACGGCTTGTTGAGACAGTTGCTCATCATCGGATGACCGAGGTGCGTGGTGTATCCGTGGTTGATGCGAGTCTGCACGCTTCCGGGATGATGGCATGAACGATGCAGTGCGCTGGTTTGGGTCTTCAGGTATATCGCTCATGGAGTATTTCGCTAACATGAAGTTAAGGATGGCGTTGGTGGAAAAGGTGTTCATCGCTTACGGTGTAGCGGTTGAGACCTCTCCTGCCGCTCTTGTTTCTTCTGTTCCTCCATGTTCGCTTACTCTTGCCAAAGAGTCTGTAATGTATGATAATGCGCCGTTTGTAAATCTTGCGCAAACTCTTTCCGTGGGTGATAAAGTGAAGATGCGCAACGCTTGAACGCAATGAAACACAACAAGAACCTCGAAATTAAGGAAACACCCACCTTTTCATACTTATCAACATAGCTATCAAGTAACTTCGCCCAATGCACGTGGTACCATGGTAAAATACCATAATCCCACGTCATCGACTGTACCTCCCAATCAAGTCCATCCCACGAGAAGCTACAGAAGTCAAACCGCGGATCGGAAACAAGACGGGTAACCGGTCAACCTAAGCCTCGAGCGCCCCGCATGCTGCCAACTTGGCGGGCGATGATGTCCAGTTAAGGTTGCCTCGCATGGCATAGTACTTGTAGTGTTGGTGTCATCCGGGAGCCCGTATCCGCGGCTGAAGTGAGCGCTGGGTGATGTGAATGGCGGGGTTGGATGCAGGGCAGCCTTAGCCATGTCGCAAGTGATACACGGTGTAGATACGAGGAGATCGGCACAAGGCTGTGAGAGATCGTGAGATGGATATTCTGGCGAGTGAAGTGTTGCGATGGCGGAGCGATGGATTACATGACGATATTGGGGCAAGAATGCGACTGGTCGACGGACCTTCATACTCGGGGTATGTAAGGGAGGTGGCGCACGCAGCAGCCAAGACGCAGTTCAAGTGCCATCATGATGCGCCCGCAAAGAGTGTACGAGCTGTACAGTATTGTAAGACGCACCTCATGTAGTGCGAAAGTTCTCAAAGGAAAACCGTTCGTGAGGGTGGAACAGGATTGGCATTGCAGGTGGGCATCTCGACATTACCTAGACTGTGGGGGTAGGACCGAATAGCATCTGCCGAATTCCCATCGAACATTCACACTCATCTCTCCAAAGTGCGATCTTCGAAATTCGCCTTCATCTCGCGAGCAAGAAAGAAGCTCTCAAACACGTTCCGTCGTCCTGATGTACAGGGGGCTCATCTCCCCTCTGCCCTCGCTTCGCACCCTCGCCCCGCCCAAAGTGGCAATAATTCCTTCCAAACACCCCCGTCGCTTCTCCTAACGGTGCACAGCCAACGTCCTCCGCCCTGCCCTTACTCTCCCACACAGCAAAGATGAACACACCATCGCGCGCCGACTTTTCCTTCTCGAACAATGGAACAACTCACAACCTAAACATAGTAACACACGTGCAGCCACCTCACGTTTTTCTTCAAGGCACGCTATGGCGATCTGTTAGGGCCGAGGCGCAGCACAGCAGGCCGGCGGCCGGCCTCGGATGCCTGACCGCAACGCGTCCCACAAGTGGGCCTCCGAGATGATGATGGATGGGCGCTGACGCGGTGTTTTTCGAGCGCTCGACCGTCGGACTCAGCCCATGTGGGTTCTTTTCGATAAATAGGAGGAGGGTTTCACCATGGAATGTGGGTGAGCTGTTGACTTTTTGGTGGGCTTTGTTATTACTATTATCAAGCTCTATATATCGATTCAGATATTCTTATCACTATACAATATATTTGCGCAACTATCAAACGGGGCACTACTTCCTCTTCTCGTTCACACACATCACGGATTAATAGGTTAAGAGAAGTCGTTCGTAGCAACTTCCAGGTTTTCTCGTACGTACCACCTCCACATCCTGTCATCCCGCAGCGGGACGCCGGCCGAGCAACAAAAAGCCCTCAACAAGCATCATCCCTAACGCGCTTCCAGGGGTCTACGCAACATCTTCCCTGATCCACCTTCAAAAGCCATCTAGAACCTGCCCACATAGCAGTACTCCGGCCAGCCACCCCGACAACCAACCTGTTCTTGGCCCTCTCCAAACCCGTAAACAAAGCGTCACGGAACGAAAGGCATCTACGACCTACCACCCGCACCCGAGCACACACGAATATATTATTAGCCAGGACACGAGCATCAATATTGTTGTTGTAGCTTTCCCTTCGTATTCAGGAAAGACACGGTACACTACTACTGTCTATCTTTAACTTTCGGCCCTACCGCATCGTACCGTACCCGCAACCACTACCACCAAAAGCACGATACGATCGACATACCAGACCCTCGAAAAAAACCTAAAAATGGATTCGCACGCGCAAACTACGACGATCGATACGCAAACATCGTCTGCATCGTCGTCACGAGACTCGTCGCCTAATACACCCATCACACCTTTGTCGCCTGCGTCATCGTCGGGTAGCGGATACTTCTCCCGTTCGTCGTCCGGGCTGGCGTCGCCGCAGGTGCCGTATCACATCATTGTTACGTTCGATGGCAAGGTGCGCGAGATGCTGCGGATAGAGAGGCAGAGTGAGGATATGGGTGAGGAGCGGAGGTCAAGGCGGACGACGCCCCGACCCAGGTATTATGCAAGGAATACCGAGGAATAAAAGATGAAATTATAAGTTGCTGTTTGGAGGGATTGGCGAAAATGGCGTTTACGATTAAAATGACTTGGGCATACTGGAAAAGACAGTTCGCGACGCTGCGACTGTCATTGGCGATAAGGAATGGGATACAGAATCTGCGCAAATAGCTGGAATATTGTCGTAATTGTAAATATAATTGAGAAGAAGGGTCTTTATTGTACCTACTGTTTACAGAATCCAACAAGAAGGAACTTCGCCACTTACAACCCCTTCCGCATCATTCCACCTTCACTTTCTTAGCCGCAATATCGCAGTACACTCTCGGCGACGACGATACCTCCCTCTTCCCCAGACTCGAAAGCGTTCGCGACGCATTCTCGGAACGCTTCTCAATGCGAATGATGCAGCTCTGTTGGCCCTGGTCTTCATTCACCACCCACATCCTGATCTTGTCCTCGACGTCTTCGCGACAGATGATATGTATCTTATCATTCAGCCCGTGTGGCTCCACTGCGAGCAGTCGTCCAGACGTAGGACCGAAAGGCGGATCAACTCCGCGTCTACTCCGCGACAAACGGATTCGGAGGTCGCACACCTCATGGGCTAATAGAGCAAAGCCTTCGAGTGTGAGGCGATCCATCGCGAGTCCCATCAGGTAGAAGAGCAGCGTCTCGTCGTGCTCGCAGCCTGCTTCGCCGTCCACGGTGATGAAATCTCGCAAGGCGGAACTTTCTGCGAGGTCTGAAGGTGGGACCACGGATTCGCTTCGTGGCCAGGTGATGAGGTGGAAGGGGATTGCGGAGTAAGGGAGGAGCTGGTAGCGCATGCGACATGGGTTGGTCTTGAAGGCATTTCGCTCTGCGAATCTCCTGGAGGAAGGCTTTTTCGTTACTTCCTTCGGTCCATTCTTGATAGCGAGTACGCGGGCGTGAGGCCGAACTTGGCTATTCGTTATGACAAGTGCGTGGGCAGGAGGCTGAACTTGGGTATTCCAAGCATGCTGGTATTGCTCGGTGATGGAGGGCGAACCCGGATGAGCATGGGCTGTCGACTGTGGTGGAGGTTCCACTGTCTGCTGGAGAGCATCTTGGAGGCGAAGTGCCTCCTTCAGCGCGAAGATGAATTCGCTGTCTACCACCGCGTCGAAGAGCTTGTATAGCTGTGAGGGGTCGCGGAGGTCAAACTCTTCTTGGCCATGTTGCCCGATCAATGTCACTGTTGAGACAGGTTTCTTGGCCTGGTTCACCCTGATGAATGCACGTTGGGTGATGTTCTGCTTGAGGCATCCATTTGGTGTCTAGTATCTCTGATCAGCTTTCTTCCCGTAGGATGCCTCAGACTCGACCATGCAAACTTACATGGAGATACATCCGATTGGGAACGATAAAAGTCCATGAGCCCGAAGGCCAAACAGTGTTCACAATAGCTGCCAAAGCAGTCGTGCGATTGCCGGCGGAGAAAGCGTCCTGTGCTAGGAGCTCGTATGCTCTCTGGAGTTGCTGGGTAACGGGCTGGTTGTTCCGAAGCTCCTAGAAGTAGCACGCGTATGCAACTCGGCGGAGATTTAAGAGCTTTTCTTCAAGAGTGATGTGGTAGGGACCATTGCTGAATGATGCATCTGAATTATTCCACCCGAGAAAAGAAAGCAGCTCATCAGGCAACACCATGATTGTTTGGTGGGCAGGTGATGTGATGAAGCTTTGTTGGCGACGAGTGCGTAAGTGAAGACTCGGACTGGAGTTGTCTCCAGTGATGGCCGCCTACACAATTCCTGAAGAAAATGTCGTTAGCAAGCCTGGATAAAGCGGTTATGGGTTCAAAGAGCTACTCACCCGTGTCGAGTAGCCACGACGCAAGCGGTGTCAGTGACTGTCAATGTTTTCCGCAGCAGTGATCGAGGCGAACCTCAGATCTAGGCGTGTCTTCAAAGCGGGCCAGTAGCATTGATGTTGTTTGCTTGCAAGATCGACGAGTTGAGAAGATGAACTTGTGATGGGATGAGATGGAAAGTGTGTGGTTGCAGCTGTTGTTGCTCAGGAAGAGAGAAGGAAACCCCGTCACTCCGCACCTGCTGAGGTCAGCAGCGAGGAAATGACGACGGCAGATGCACTATGAATACTGATGTAAGAATCGATATCGATGTTCCTCTGCTTCGGTATATGAGTGTACATTGTGGCTCATAACGCTCCACTTCCGGGCCGGGCAGACGGCCCCCGACGGGACGGCCCAGCTCTATGGCATGCCATTGCGGTATAGCTAGTACATTCTTAGCTCATTCCTTATCGTGTACCAGAGTATCTTGATCTTGGAAGGCCGGTCCGGTGTTGAGTGCGAAGTTCTCGTGAACTGGAGCGTTTCACGACACTGGCATCGCTCGAGTTTGTCCATTGCCGCTGCTCATGATACTTTTCGCACTGCTATATTGTATTTGCCGCTCATTATTCATGCACTATGCTCACAGGCTTTCTCCGACTGCTAAATCTCTCGCAACGATCATGCGACATCCCCAAGGCAGTCACAGTGATGCAACAACCACAGAGGACGAACGCGCGGCAGCAGATCCCCCAAGCTTTTCAAGCCACAAAGCTTGATCGATTTATGACGGTAATTAAAGCGAGAACCAAGCTTTTGTTCGGTCTTGTTGAGTGTGCGTTAGTCTTCAGGGTCGCTGAGTTAAACTTCAGGATGGCTTGAATTGCCACCTGCATTTCTGACAGCCCGAATAGTTGTCATGTCAAGTAACACGCAGGTCTACTGTGAGATTCTCGTGCCAATGTAATCGGTCACGGTGTGTGGGCGAGTCTTGTTGGTAGCGACCGTGGAGAGGAACTTGGACCCAATCACCATTTTGGAGGTGTAATCACCCGCAAAGGTAAAGTAAGGACGTACCAGAGACATCAAAGGGTCCAGAGTGTGGTTAGAGTGGGGTCTTGATTCTGGTTTATCGCGATGTGATGGTTTAGAGCCAGAGAAGTTGGGAATTTGTAGATACTGATCTCGAGAATCCTAGTTGCTATGTGAACTCAAACGTGTTCCTTACGCAACATCTCTCACCTACAAGCACTCCATCCTTACATCTCCAACGTCCCAATCCGACTGCCCACATTGCCACTGTCACCCCAAACCCCGTCCCCAACCCTCCTCCTAACCATAGCCAGCACGTCCTGCCTCCCACCATCCTGCTCCAGCTTCCTGCCCAGCGTCTTCAACACCTCAAACTTCGCCGTTGCAACGATATACGCCGCGTTCTCCGCATCACCACGTCCACCAACGAGATTGGAAAAGGTCGTCGCTGGCTTGAGCAGTGAAGGGAGAACACCGCCGCTAATAGTAGGGTCTAAGATAAGATCGACACCCGATTTAGGGAAGGCGCTAAGACGGGCGTAGGTTGGGTCGTTTGCAGGGATGTTGGGAATTGGTTCGGTCGACCAAGTCGAGGTGATAAGGGCACCGACGAGGGTCAGGGCTGCGAGTGCGTTTTCTTTCATGGCGATGGTTTCCATGTGTGTAGTTATGTCGGCGAACATGTTTGGCTTTTTCATATAGAAGAGGGCGGTGAGGAGGCGGGCGTATGCTGCTTCGGTCTGAGTGCGTTTGCTGTCTGAACCTATAGTTTCGGTTTGTGGGAACGTGATCTCTTCTTTTGGTGGACCGTGGAAGATGGTTGCAAGCGTCTTGAGCGCGTCCTGGTTCGTTCGCGTGATTGGCATGTCGGTAATGACACAGTCATCCCAGGATGGTCCTGAAGCTTTTTGCGGTATAAGCGTTGATCGAGGCATTGAAGCAATAATGTTCAGGTCGCTTGCTTCACACTTGCGAATGTTGCGGTGTACGTAATTCCGGATAGTGGGCATCTCGCTGCTTTTCTCAAAGTTCTCTGGGTAATGCGATGCGTAGTCGCTGATATACTGGGCTGTCCGACTGCTCAAGAAAGAGTGGTCAAGGCTGGGGTTGTTTGAGGTATGGAAGTCGACGATGCCTTTGTGTACGCCTTCTTCTATAAGGAAATCCAGAGCAAGACTTGAGTCGTAGTGTGAGAGGTGGGGCTTCGCTTTGACCGTGGTGATCAATGTGCTGTAGAATTGGAGCAGGGTCATATGCATGAGCATATCATCTTCTGTGTCGACCATCTTTAATGCAGCGTAATGCAGCAAGCCTTGACCTTCCTTCAGTCCAACTTCCTTTTCAGCTTCCAGACCGTACGAGGAAGTGACGGCATTCCAGTCCATAGCGGCGACACGCGGTAGCCAGGACAATAGTCTAGCCTGTGAAATTGTCTTGTCACGTTTGTTCAGAAGTGGCTGAGGTGGCGATGTGAGGTCCTTGAGAGATGTGTAATGGTAGTACAGCGAACTAATGTCCCTGTCGCTGAATAGGCGCCTCCACATGGGACCAGTACCATATGTATGTAGCGAAGACTTGCCGTCTATCGATACAGGCTCATTCTTCGACACTTCCAACAAGGAAATAAGAAGCTCTTCGGCTTGAGTAGCGACTCCAGCATCTTGAGTGCATAGCCACAGACGGACGATGGCCAATATGACCACTGGCCGATTCGCAAGTGCTTGAGCATCGGTGCTACTTGTGGTGGCCTTCTCTAACAGTGTCAGGATGAGACTGTGAAATGGAGTAGCCTTTAGATCAAGTCCGATCTCGAAATCAATGTCTTTGATATCGTCAAATCGATATGGTTCTGCCAGCTTGATGATGAAGTGGGTGAGTGGCGTGGGATCTTGTTGAAGCGTTGGTAGTAACGCCGCCATCTGCAGAAAGAGCGGTCTCGTCTCTTTCCATATCTGGCTACGGTATTCTGGCGTGTTGGTGGAGAGCTCGCATCGCTCAAGTAGATCTGTGTCGAGCGGAGTGGTAGGATCCTTGTCGACCTTTTGCAGATGCTCTGACAGCTCGCTCAGTGTAGCAGTCGATGCGGCCATTGTGGATGTCTGGATGTAGTGGTTCTTGGAGAAGTTTGATTGTCGACGTTCTCGATGGTAGTCCCAGCTCGAGCGTGGCGGTTATAGTGTAAGAGAAGGTTCTAGGCCGCTCATGTGATTGCGCGTATGGGGCACGCGTTCCTTGTAGCCTGATGCGCGGTGATAGCGTCGATGCTGATCCTTGGACTGCCACTGTACTTCAAGCTGGGTCGCTAGAAGTTGATATTAATCTGGTTCAGGGCTACAGATGCTTTGGTATCGCGTCGGATGTTCCTATTGTCGTCTACCTGAGTACCGGGGTCTAGGGTAGAGGTGGCGGGGCTGCGGGTGCAAGTTCGCTATTGGGACCCCACCCTCGAGCTCAGCCTAGCAAGCCGGTCGCAACTGCACCGAAATAATTTCTGACTCCACAACTCTCACCAAAGTCTCCCTCGACGACGCCTAATCGACCTGCCGTAAAGGAAAACCACAGTAGATACCGCGAATCGTATAATACAAGAAACTTGACATGCCGCCAGCAAGAGGAGGACGAGGTGGTGGGCGCGGAGGTTCGCGCGGAGGTGCCTTCAATCCCGCGCGAGGCACCGTGACGATTGCGGGAACGGAGCTCAACTGGGATCTTACTGGCCTCGACATTCAGAAGGGCCCTGCCGAGCGCTTTCCAGTGAGCATCTCCCTTTCTCCGTCGCATACCCATCAGCCATATCGCGACTGCACTGCGCAAGTTTTCTATGGCATGGCGCATGTCTTCTAGTACTGCGCATGTCTATATAATGTTGTCGCAACTACCATGCCTCGCCAATCGCAGTCGCAGTCGCAGTCGCAGCCGCAGCAACCCACCAGCACGATACTGAAGAGCGCATCTTTGATTCACCCACTAAGCCACACGCAGGAAGCACCACCTCCCCAAGCGCCTCCACCAACCGACGATGAGCTAGCCATGGTAAAGCACCACCTCGCAGTCCGGGACCGCATCCACGAGGGTCCCTTCTACACGATCCTCAACGACGGCATGAAGAACGGGCTAAAGCGCAAGGCCAACGAGCCCGCACCCACCGAAGCCTCGCTCTTCGACCCCTTCACCGGCAACCAGACCTACTCCGCAAAATACCTAAAAGTGCGCCGGCGCCTCCCAAAGCTAGACGCGCGACCATACGGCAAGTCTCCATGCACACCTGCTAGATATCAACCATAGAACTAACACCCCCACAGTCGTCGACCTCTTCCCCACCGAACTCCGCACAACCCTCACCGGCACAACCAGCACCACCTCCTCCAACGCCAAAAAGCCCGCCCGCCGCACCCTCGCCGTAACAAAAGTAAGCAGCGTCTCTCAAATCGAGCGCCTCATAAAATCCGAACAAGAGCGCACCAACGAAGCCGAAGCGCGCGCCGAAGAAGACGACGACGACGACGCCGAAGCCGAAGACGACGAG